CTCCTTCAACTCTCCTTTTCCCTTGAGAAGTAGGGTGTATATAAGCATCTGGACCTCAGTGAGTTACTGGGCAATCATTCTGCAATTCCACTGTGCTTATGTCTATTAAGTAAATTTTGTAATATCTTTTTCTCCTACTAATCTGTTTTCAGTCAATTTTCAGTGAACCTTCAGAGGGTAAAGGAGAATCTTTCTCTCTCGTCTAATTGTTAAAATATCAATTACTCCCAAATTGATCTAGAGATTCAATACAAATTTCAAGCAGGACTTTTGTAAAAACTGACAATCTGATTCTAAAATTTATATGGAAATTTAAAAGTATCTACAATATTCAAAATAATTTTGAAAATAAAGAGGATGTACTTGATTTCAACATCTACTACGTAGATATAAGGAAAAACAAATAGATTGATATAACAAAATAAAAAGTAAGAAATCCAGCCACACTTATATGCTTTAAGGGCAAATGCAAACTAAAAAGTAAGAGACTTAAGGAGGATGTAGTGGCTCATGCATCTCAGCATTTCGGGAGTGTGACGCCTGAAGACTGATGATTGCTCAAGGTTGGAAATTTGAGACTAACCTGTCTCTACCCTCTCCCCGAAATAAAGAGCGAGAGAAAATTTTTCCTGTTGAAAATAAAGGAAGAGACTTCCCCTAATGCTCCAACCTTTTCTTTTCTTTTGAGAAAGAGTCTCAAGCTGTTGCTCTGGGTAGAGTGTTGTGGCGTCATAACTCACAGCAACCTCCAACTCGGCCTCAAGCAATCCTCTTGCCTCAGTTTTTTCTATTTTTAGTAGCGACCAGGTCTTGATTTTGCTCAGGCTGGTACATAAAGACTTGTACTTGAATATTCAGAGCTGCTTTATTTGTAACAGACAAAAAAATAGAAACAGGCCGAATGCCTATCAACTGGTAAAGATATAAACAAATTGATACAATCTTACAATGGAATACTACTCAGCAATAAAGAGGAATAAACCACTGATACATTCAACAACTTGGATGAGTCACAAAAGCATTATCCTAAATAAAAATAGACAGAACAGATACCATATGATTCTACTTCCATAACGTTTTAGAAAAAGTTCATGAAAGAGACTTTTGGGGAAAAGGAAGTGGTTTTTTTTTTCTTTTTTAGGAAGTGTTTTTTTTTCCTTTTAGAGACAAGAGTCTCACTTTGTTGCCCTCAGTAGAATGCTGTGGCATCATAGCTCACAGCAACCTCCAGCTCTTGGGCTTAGGCGATTCTCTTGTCTCAGCCTCCCAAGTAGCTGGGACTATAGGTGCCCACCACAATGCCTGGCTATTTTGTTGTTGTTGTTATTGTAGTTTGGCCGGGGCCAGGTTTGAACCCGCCACCCTCAGTATGTGGGGCTGGTGCCCTATTCACTGAGCCATAGGCGCCACTCAGAAGTGTTTTTTTGAGACAGAGTCTCACTATGTTGCCCTGGGTAGAGTGCTTTTGCGTCACAGCTCACAGTAACTTTAAACTCTTGGGCTTAAGTGATTCTCTTGACTCAGCCTCCCAAGTAGCTAGGACTAAAAGTACCCCCCCCCCCCAATGCCCAGCTATTTTTTTGTCGTTGTTCCAATTGTCATTGTTGTTTCACTGGCCTGGGCCAGGTTTGAACCCACCAGCCTCAGGGTATGTGGCCAACACTGTAACCACCATGCTACAGGCGCTGAGTCGGGCAGAAATCTTACAGCCTTAGTTACCGTAGAACAAACAACAAAATTGGGCACTACAAATAAACAACTAGAAAATTAGAGGAAAATCTCAAAAAGGAAAGGATGGAAAACTCCAAATTCTGCATGAAAATCTGCCTAAATCTCTGGCTGATCTGTGAACCATGCATACACGGAGACTTAAAGGAACCCAGCTAGGGCTAAATGGACTGAACAGAGGTCACAACTACTGCCTACAATACAAAAGTGTAACATTGAAGCCTAACCAAAGTAACAACCTGATACAACAAATATTTTAGAAATCAAGATATTTTAGAGGAATATAAGAGAATTCAGAATCTCTACAAATATATTATTCACCATATTCAGCATAATCCCCTAATTATCAACATATAAAGTAAGAGGAACTTTAATTAAAGATGCTATTTTAAAAAAAAAAAAAAAAGCAAGAGGAAATGTGATCACAATCAAGAGGAGGGATTGGCAAACTACAGCTCATGGGGCAAATCCAGTCTGCCATCTGTATTTGTAAGTAAAGTTTTACTGGAGGATTGGCACCTATAGCTCAAGCGACTAAGATGCCAGTCACATACACCAGAGCTGGTGGGTTTGAATCCAGCATAGGCCCGCCAAACAACAATGACAACTACAACCAAAAAATAGCCGGGTGTTGTGGCAAGCGCCTGTAGTCCCAGCTATTTGGGAGGTTGAGGCAAGAGAATCGCTTGAGCCCATGTGTTGGAGGTTGCTGTGAACTATTATGCCACAGCACTCTACCCAGGGCGACAGCCTGAGGCTCTGCCTTAAAAAAAAAAAAAGTTTTACTGGAACACAGCCACTCTCATTGTTTACATATTGACTAAGGTTGCTTTCTTGCTATAACAGCAGAGATGAATAGTTATGCCAGAGACTACACGGTCTCTGCAAGGCCTAATATATGTATTTACTACTTGGCAGTCAACCCTTTCTCTCCACTCTGAGCCACTAGCAACCACTGATTTGCTCTCCCTCACCATAGTTTTGTTTTCCAGAATTTCCCGTAAACAGAATCAAACAGTATATATTTTGCTTCTGGTCTCTTGTTTAAGATAATGCTGTGGATTATTGACTCTTAGTCAAGAAAAAAGGCAATCAGGATTTCGTGGTAACTAACATATTGGAATTGCAGGCAAGGATTCTAAAGCATCTACTTTAACCACATTAAAAGGACATAAAAAAATGCTCCATGTTAAAGGACATTTAAAAACAATGCTCACAAAGAATGAACAAATAAGATCTCTCAACAAAGAAACAAAAACTTTTTTTTAGAAATAGAGTCTCACTATGTTGCCCTTGATAGAGTGCTGTCTCGTCATAGCTCGCAGCAACAGCAAACTCTTGTGATTCTCAAGTGATTCTCTTGCCTCAGCCTCCCTGTAGCTGGAACTACAGGCACCTGCCACAACACTTGACTATTTTTAGAAACAGGGTCTCAATCTTGCTCAGGCTGTTCTCAAACTCGTGAGCTCAGGTGATCCATCTGCCTCGGCCTCCCCTGAGTGCTAAGATTACAGTCATGAGCCTAGCTATTTTTTTAAAGACAGGGTCTGGCTCTTGCTCAGGATGGTCTTGAACTCATGGGCTCAAGCAATCCACCTGCCTCAGCCTCCCAGAGTGCTAGGATTACAGGCATGAGCCATCAAGCACAGTTAACAAAAACTATTTCAAAACAACTAAATTGAAAGGACAGAATTGAAAAATATATTATTATTATTTTTTCTTATTGTTGGGGAATCACTGAGGGTACAATGAGCCAGGTTATACTGCTTGTGTTAGCTGGATGAAGAAAAATATAATATTAGAAATAATGACATTTGCTGCATGGGCTTAAGAGCAGAATGAAAATGATACAAGAAGAGTAATGCCAGGTGCGGTGGCTCACACCTATAATCCCAGCCCTCTGGGAGGCCAAGGTGGGTGGATTGCTTGAGCTCACAAGTTCCAGACCAGCCTGAGCAACAGTGAGACCCCGTCTCTACTAAAAATGAAAAAACTGAGGCAAGAGGATCACTTGAGCAAAAGAGTTTGAGGTTGCTGTGACCTAGAACACCTTGGCACTCTACCCAGAGTGACAAACTGAGATTCTGTCTCAAAAAAAAAAAAAAAAAAAAAAGAGTAAGTGTATTTGAAGATACATCAATAAAAATTACTCCATAAGAGGACAGAGTAGAAATGATTGACAAGAAATGAACACAGTCTCAGTGAGGTACAGGACAATATCCAAAGGTGGAGTCCTAGAAGGAAAGGAAAGGAAACAATGGGGCAGAAAAAATATTTGAAAATTATGTCAGAAAATTTCACCAATGTGGTAAACCTTACAGATCACAAAGCTGAGAAAACCTCAGCTTCTGGTCAGCTGCCTCTGGTCAGCTATTAGTGTGTCCTCTAAATGGACCCTCTGACAGAGTGTGCAGCCTCACACCAGGCCTGTGGGAATAGACAAGAGAAGGCAGAGACAGGAGTGAGGCCAGAAAGGCTGGTGCAGTGCCTGACAGTGGGTCCGTGCAAGGGGCTGGTGGGCAGGGAAGGTGTGACTGCCAGGCATGGGGAATTGTGAGACTCCCTAGACTGAGTGTTAAGTCTGATACCTGACGATTTCTAGACCATTTGGTTTAGCTCAGGTCTGTGTTTCTTTTTTTTGAGACAGAGCCTCAAGCTGTCCCCCTGGGTAGAGTGCCGTGGCATTACAGTTCACAGCAACCTCCAACTCCTGGGCTCAAGCGAGTCTCCTGCCTCCACCTCCCAAGTAGCTGGGACCACAGGCACCCACCACAACGCCCACCTATTTTTTGGTTGCAGCCGTCCTTGTTGTTTGGCAGGTCCGGGCTGGGGATTCGAACCCGCCACCTTAGGTGTACGTGGCTGGCGCCTTAGCCGGTTGAGCTATAGGCGCCGAGCCCAGGTCTGTGTTTCAAAGAACCCCAGCTATGGCAGCCCAGGAATGTTGGGAGGCTGTGAATCCTAGGAGGAGGCTGCTTAGGGGTGAGGCCTGAACCTTGGCAGAAGAGGTAGAAGAGAGACGGGGACTGGCTAGGTGAGCTGGGGAAGAGAGAGGAAAAAAATGACAAATGCCTGAAAGTTTTTTCTATCAAGTCTAACATCAGGCACTGAAAAAGCTAAAGTCATTAGAGAAGTTTGACTTGTTCATTTGTAACAAAAATTAGACTGAAAGAAAAAAACCTAAACACAGAAATGGAGCTGGTTCCTTACATTTGTATTGAGCAGACGTGCACAAAACACAGGGGGTTTTTATTCTTGACAGCATCAATTACCTTCTGCCTTTCTCACAAAGCTTCTCAATCTCAGCTTTGAGATCCTGCTCCTTCTGCAAAAACTCCTTCTTTTCTTTCTCTATCTTCTTCTTTGTTTCTTCCCGCTTTATTGTCACATCTTGAATAGCCTTTAATATCTCCTGAGTCCCACACAATTAAGTCACACACAAATAAAGAAGGAAATAAGTTAATGTTTTTGATCTGGAGGTTACTTTCAACTATCAAAACTTCAAATGTTGACGTTAGTGAATTCACATTGAATTGAGAGAATGTGTTTGATGAGTTAACTCCAAAACCCAGCAGTCAGACCTAAAGGAGAAAGTTACAGGAATGAAGATTTCAATTCAACAGGAAAAGTAATTCTAACAACCACAACTATTCAAAAATGGAACATACTGCCTTGTAAAGCAATAGGCACTCCATTATTGGTGTTCCAACAAGGCTGAATGAACACCTGTCAGGAATGCTGAGTAAGGCGTTCTCCCACCGAGCGGGAGTTTGTTACATCCAACAAATACAGTCTTATTTTATTTGGTTACGGTGCTACCTTATTATGTGAGGGGTTTGGGGTTTGTTTTACTATTTAACAACAACAAATATATTCATATATATTTTAATAAGAAGTCAAAAAATACAGAAGTGGCTGGGCACAGCGGCTCACACCTGTAATTCTGGGACTCTGGGAGGCCAAGGTGGGTGGATTGCTTGAGCTCAGGAGTTCAAGACTAGCCTGAGCAAGAAGAGCGAGACCTCATCTCTCAAAAATAGCCAGGCAGTGTCACAGGCGCCTGCAGTGGAGGGCAACAAAGTAAGACTCTGTCACAAAAAAAGTGATAAAGGTAATAGACAGTCACCCTCCAGTTCCTAACACTTCCACCCATAAGGTTAATTAATGTGTTAACTGCTGTGTATTACACTTTTACATATTTCTTCATTCTCACGCAAATACACGTACATTTATATATGTACTGTCTTCTTTTTTGTTTTGTTTTGTTGGGGAGGGGCAGAGTCTCATTCTGTCACCTAGACTACAGTGCCTTGGCCTCAGCCTAGTTCACAGCAACCTCAAACTTCTGAGCTCAAACAGTCCTTCTAAGTCAGCCTCCCAAGTAGTTGGGTCTTCAGGTATGGGCCACCATACTTAGCTAACTTTTCTACTTTAAGTAGAGATGGGCTCTCACCTTGCTCAGGCTGGTCTCGAACCCCTGACCTCAAGCAATCTGGCCTAGCACTGGGCCTCCCAGAGTGTTAGGATTAATTATAGGTATGAACCACCATACCTGGCTTTGTGTGTGTGTGGCAGGGGGTGGGGGGTATTTTCATGTCATTTAATATATACAATTCCACATCCTGATTTTATTTTTATTTATTTATTTATTTTGAGACAAGAGTCTCACTATTTTGCCCTTGGTACAGTGCCTTGGCGTCACAGCTCATAGCAACCTCAAACTCTTGGGCTTAAGTGATTCTCTTGCCTTAGCCTCCCAAGTAGGTGGGACTATACGCACCTGCCACAACACCCGGCTATTTTTTTGTTGCAGTTGTTTAGCTGGCCTGGGCCAGGTTCAAACTCGCAACCCTTGGTGTACGTGGCTGGTGCATAACCACTGTGCTACGAGAACTGAGCCCTGATTTTTTGCACTAGATATGAACATACCATGTCAATAAATATAGATCTAACTCAAAAATAGCTGCGTAAAGGCCAGGCATCATAGCTCATGCCTGTAATCTTAGCACTCTAGAAGGCTGAGGTGATAGGATAACTTGAGCTCAGGAGTTCAAGACCAGCCTAAGCAAGAGTGAGACCCTGCTTCTACTACAAATAGAAAAATTAGCTAGTCAAAAAGTATCTCTTAAACCCAGGAGTTTGAGGATGCTGTGAGCTAGGCTAACACCATGACTCTCTAGCCTCAGCCACAGGGTAACACTTGCCCTCAAAAAGAAAAGAAAAGAAAAGAAGTTACATAATATGATACCAGTGGAGATATCCAAACTTACCCAACCATTCTGTTCAAAGATCAACAGGTTGATTCCAAATTTTTATAATGACATTTTTAATCTAATCTACTTAATTTTTTTTTTTTTTTTTTTGAGATGGAACCTCAAGCTATCCCCCTGGGTAGAGTGCCATGGCATCACGCTCACAGCAACCTCCAACTCCTGGGCTCAAGCGAGTCTCCTGCCTCAGCCTCCCAAGTAGCTGGGACTACAGGCGCCCGCCACAACGCCTGGCCATTTTTTGGTTGCAGCCATCATTGTTGTTTGGCGGGCCCGGGCTGGGGATTCGAACCTGACACCTTAGGTGTATGTGGCTGGCGCCTTAGCCACTTGAGCCACAGGCGCCGAGCCTAATCTACTTAATTTTTAAAAACAATATTACAATTAACATTCTGTACGTCTACACTTTTCATATAAAAAAATGAACTCTTAGTAATAAGATTACTAGGTCAAAGTACATGTATATATTAAAATTTTAACTGAAAATTCCTAATAACTATTCCAAAACAATCATAAAAATTCATACTCCTACCAATGTCTGAAGGAATTCATTTTTCCTCACCCTTGACAATTTATTTCATTTCTGCCAATCTCCTAGGTGAGGGAGAGAAGGGAGGACAAAATGGTATCTAATACTTACAACAGGCACTTTCCTAACCTCTATTAAGTAAGCATTCCATGAAACAGAGACTGTGGCTGGGCACAGCGGCTCATGCCTGTAATCCTAGCACTCTGGGAGGCCGAAGTGGGTGGATTGCTTGCAAGTTCGAGACCAGAAAAACATGCCTGCCTAACAGGCACTCATTTCTCTCAAAATGAAACATTTCTCTCTACTAAAAAATAGAAACTGAGGCAAGAGGATCATTTGAGCCCAAAAGTTGGAGGTTGCTGTGAGCTATGATGCCATAGCACTTTACTTTACCCAGGGCAACAGCTTGAGACTCTGTCTCAAAAAAAAAGAAAGAAAACGAGACTGTGTTTTGCTCACCACTAAATCTCCAGAGCCTAACAGGCACTCAAAAAATATTTGCTGAATGGCCAGGCCCGGTGGCTCATGTTTGTAATCCTAGCACTCTGGGAGGCTGAGGTGGGGAGATTGCTTGAGCTCAAGAATTGGGAGACCAAGCCATAAAAAACGACAGAGACTTTACATCTTTTATATTAACCTGGATAGAGATGAAACACATTGCTCTTAGGAAAGTATCGTAAGAATGGAGGGCAAGAATCCAATGTACTCAATACTAATATGAAGCCAGCAGATGATCTAATACACGCCCACAAAAGAGAAAAACTCAAGTCAATTCAAGGTGGGGGGTGGGAGAACAAGAGAGTAGGAGAGGGTAGGAAGGAGGGGAAGAGTATGCGCCCACTTAATGGGCACAATGTTAGGGTATATGGCACACCACTTGGGGGTAGGACATAATGATAAGAGGGACTCTATAAATGCAGACATCGTAACCTAATTCTTTGTACCCTCAAATTAACCTGAAACAATAAAAAATAAAAATAACAACAACAACAAAAAAAAGAATTAGAGACCAGCCTGAGCAAGAGTGAGACCCTAACTCTACTAAAACCAGAAAAACAAGCCAGGCGTGGTAGTGAGTGCCTGTAGTCCCAGCTACTCAGGAGGCTGAGGCAAGAGGATCTCTGGAGTCCAAGAGACTGAGGTTGCTGTGAGCTGTGATGACACCACAGCACTCTGTCCAGGGCAACAGAATGAGACTCTGTCTCAAGAAAATAAATTTGGTGAATGAATGAATGAGTGTCATAGAGCTTCTTTTCATACATTTATAACAGATATGCTTATCCTCTTCTGTGAATTACTGTTTGTAACTGTCATAGGCAAAATGAAACATTCTCTCTCAATATGTCCATATCCTAATCCCTGGAACCTGTATATGAGTTACCTTTCGTGGCAAAAAGGACTGTGCGGATGTGATTTAAGGTAAGAACCTTGCAATGGGAAGATGATCTTGCATTATCTGGGGAAGCCCAATCAAATTACATGAGCCCTTAAAAGTGAAGACCCGTTTATAGGTGTGATCAGAGGAAGATGTTACTAGAGAAAAAAGGTCAGACAGATGCTGGCTTTGAAGATGGAAGAGGTGGCCACTAATCAAGGAATATAGGCAACCTTTAAAGGCTGGACAGGCAATGAAACACATACTCCCCTAGCACTCCCAGAAGGAACGCAGCCCTTGAGTTTGTCCCAGTGACACACATTTTAGACTAAGAACATTTAGAACTGTAAGTTAATAAATATGTGTTTTTTTTTTTTTTTTGAGACAGAGCCTCAAGCTGTCCCCCTGGGTAGAGTGCCATGGCATTACAGCTCACAGAAACCTCCAACTCCTGGGCTCAAGCGAGTCTCCTGCCTCCGCCTCCCAAGTAGCTGGGACCACAGGCGCCCGCCACAACGCCCGGCTATTTTTTGGTTGCAGCCGTCATTGTTGTTTGGCGGGTCCGGGCTGGGGATTCGAACCCGCCACCTTAGGTGTACGTGGCTGGCGCCTTAGCCGGTTGAGCTATAGGCGCTGAGCCAAATATGTGTTGTTTTAAGTCACTAAAGGCATGATAATTTGTTATAGCAGCAATAGGAAAATAGCAGAATAAATTTTTCTGATTTTTCTCCACTGTTGACTTTTAGCATACATTTGGAGGAATCACAGAATGTCATGCTTATTAAACCCTTCATTAAATATACCACAAATATTTCTTCACAGTCTAACATTAATCTTTCAACTTATTTGTATATCATTTGCCATACCAAAATTTTAAATTATATGTAATTAAATTGAATAGTCTCTTTCTTTATGGCTTATGAGTTTTCTGCCTTTTGTTTAAAGTGATCCCTTGCAATTTGAGGTTTCATAAATATTCTAAATTTTCTTCTAAGTTACTTTTTCTTTCTAGTTTTTTTTGGTTTTTTTGGCTCAAGTGATTTTCTTGCCTCAGCCTCCCAAGTAGCTGGGATTACAGGTGCCCACCACAACACCCAGCTATTTTTTGTTGTTGTTGCAGCTGTCATTGTTGTTTAGCAGGCCCAGGCCAGGTTCGAACTTGCCTGCCTTGGTGTTATGTGGCTAACCACTAAGCTACGGGCGCCAAGCCACTTTCTAGTTTTTCTATGTAGTTTTGGGGACTTTTTTGAGAGAGGATCTTGCTCTGTTCCCCAAGCTAGAGTGCAGTGATGCAATCATAGCTCACTGCAACTTCAAATTCCTGGATTCAAGTGATCCTCCTGCCTCAGCCTCCCAATTATCTCAGACTACAGGCAACTGCGCTGGGTTAATTTTTCTATTTTTTGTAGAGGTGGGGTCTCACACTTGCTCAGGCTGGTCTCAAACTCCTGGCCTCAAGTGATCATCCCACCTCAGCCTCCCAAAATGCTAGGTTTACAGGTGTGAGCCAGTGACCCTAGCACATATGTCAATTTTTAACCTACCTGTAATTATGTACTTTAATATAATACAAAACAGAAATATTATCATTTTCCAGATAGTTAATTGTGTCAACAAAATATGTTCAATAAATAGTACTTTTCTCTGTGAACTATCATATGAATGAGAGTTTGGACAAGACACTCTCAAAGGTTCTTTCTATACTTAAAATTCTACATGACAGCTTTTAAAGAGTAAATACTGCTTTTTTGTTTTTCTCATCTCAGAAATAAAATTAATTTGATTAGGAACTGTTACGTAACTCAGTGACAATTTCAATCTAACCAGAATACCTGGTGATTCTTCATTTCTTCTTCTCTCCTTTGCTGAAGCTGCTTTAATTGCACTTGGAGCTGATTCTCCACTTGCCTTTGCTTGTCTAGGACCTCCTGGTAACGCTCCTTCAACAGAGTTCTCTCTGTCATCATTTTATCCTATTGGGAACAACACAAGAAAAGGCTGTTTCCCAATTTCACCATAAGGAATATTCATTAAGTGACTGTCCAAGGTACTATTTGAGCTCTATGATTGCACTGTCCAATACAGTAGCTACTAGCCATACGTGGCTATATAAATTTAATTACAATATGACAAAATAAAGCCAAGTGTGATGGCTTGTCCCTATAGTCCAGGTACTTGGGAGGCTGAGGCAGGAGGATCACTTAAGATCAAGAGTTAAAGGTTACAGTGAGTTATGATCACCAACACTGCACTCTAGCCTAGATGACAGCCTGAGACGTTGTCTCTCAAAAACATAAACATAAAAAGCACAAGGGGCAGCGCCTGTGGCTCAAAGGAGTTAGGGCGCCGGCCCCATATACCAGAGGTGGCGGATTCAAACTTGGCCCTGGCCAAAAACTGCAAAAATAAATAAATAAATTAATTAATTAAAAGCACATGGGCCTCATAACCACCCAAAAGATATAGCCAAACAAAACCCTGTGCTTCTTCTGGTCCAGTGAGAAAGAATGATGCCACTGAATGACACAAAGCTTATTTATGCCTTCCTAGCTGGCTCCTTCAATTACTATATAGTCATCCAAACCGTGCTTATAACTGGAAGGACGAAATAAATACTCTACAAAGGGCTTGGAGAAAAGGTGACCTCTTTCCCTTTCCCAGAGGTTCTCTTCTACCCATACTTCTACCTCGTCCATCTCCACCAGGTCTCTCTTCCTGAGGACCTTTCTACCTGTCTATTACAAATAACTCCTGAGCAGCTACTCTCTAGTTCAGCGGTTCTCAACCTGTGGGTTGCGACCCCTTTGTAACAATGAAAATACATTGTGGCATTAGGAAGGTTGAGAACCACTGCTCTAGTTAAAATTGTATTAGCTTCATCTGGTTTATGTACTGCAAGAACTTACTTCTTTTCATTTGTCCTTCGATTCTTTTTTTTTTTTTTTTTTTTTTTTGAGACAGAGCCTCAAGCTGTCCCCCTGGGTAGAGTGCCGTGGCATCACAGCTCACAGCAACCTCCAACTCCTGGGCTCACGCGAGTCTCCTGCCTCCGCCTCCCAAGTAGCTGGGACCACAGGTGCCCACCACAACGCCCGGCTATTTTTTGGTTGCAGACGTCATTGTTGTTTGGCAGGTCCGGGCTGGGGATTCGAACCCGCCACCTTAGGTGTACGTGGCTGGCGCTCTAGCCGGTTGAGCTATAGGCGCCGAGCCTGTCCTTCGATTCTTCAACTTGTATCATTTTACTATCTGGTTGCTACAAGCATCTTTCCTTTTCATATTGTTCTCCATCCAATTAACATATCTTACTCTAAAGACCTCGTCTTGACCCTGGAGTGCCTTTCCCATCATTAGCCATCCTCTTAAAAAAATACACTTAGATATTCATACATACATTTAAAGGGTAGAAGTTTTAGCAATAAAATGCCAGAGATAGGTCAAGGGGACCATTTTAACAAAGATAAATATGAAGTCCTACTGCCTACATTTTAAAAACCAAACTAATAAGAAAGACACAAGTAAACACTGCATGAGAAAGAGACTTGATCAAGTTTGACTGAAAGCTCAACAGTATGAGGTTGCCAAAATAAGTCAACGTAAGCTTCGGAAATGAGAAAGATGTTACCTGCACACAAGTACTGGGATAAAGAAAAGAAGAAAGCAAGAAATGAGAAAGACAGAGATACCCACTCTATTGTGAACAAATTATATCTGGATTATTATATTTGGTTCTCAAGATCACTTGTTTTTTGAGACAGCGTCTTGCTCTGTTTCCTAGACTGCAGCACAATGGCATATTCATAGTTCACTACAGCCTTGAACTCCTGAGCTCAAGTGATTCACCCAGATCAGCCTCCTGAATAGCTAGGACTACAGGTATAAACCACCACACCTGACTAATTTTTTTTATTTTTTGTAGAGAGAGATCTTGTTGTATTGCCCATGATGGTCTCCAACTCCTAGTCTCAAGCAATCTTCCTGTCTCAGCCTACCAAAGTGCTGAGATTCCAGCCCTGAGCCACCACACCCAGCCTCAAGATTTTTTCTTTCTTTTCTTTTCTTTTTGAGACAGAGCCTCAAGCTGTCACCCTGTAGAGTGCTCTGGCATCATAGCTCATAGCAACCTCCAACTCCTAGGCTGAAGCAATTCTCCTGCCTTTGTCTCCCAAATAGCTGGGACTACAGGCACCTGCCACAATGCCTGGCTATTTTTTGGTTGCAACCATCATTGTTGTTTGGTAGGTCCAGACTGGATTTGAACCCACCAGCTCAGGTGTATATGGCTGGCGCCTTAGCCACTTGAGCCACAGGCACCAAGCCAAGATTACTTTTTTTATTTTTTTTGAGACAGAGTCTCACTTTGTCATCCTGGGGAGAGTGCCATGGCATCATAGCCTATAGCAACCTCAAACTCCTAGATTCAAGAAATCCTCTTGTCTCAGTCTCCCAAGTAGCCGGGACTACAGGTGCTCACCACAACACCCAGCTAGTTTTTCTATTTTAGTAGAGACAGGGTATTACTCTTGCTCAGGCTGGTCTTGAACTCCTGAGCTCAAGCAATCCACCTGCCTCAGCCTCCCAGAGTGCTAGGATTATAGGTGTGAGCCACTGAGCCTGGCTTAAGATCACTTTTTAAAAGAAATACTGACAAAATGAAAAACGTCTAGGTGAAAGTAACCAGGATGATAAAAAACTAAAAAGAGGCTTGGGGCTCGGGGCCTACAGCTCAAGCAGCTAAAGTGCCAGCCACATACATCAGAGCTGGTGGGTTTGAGTCCAGCCCAGACCTGCCAAACAACAATGACAACTATAACCAAAAAATGGCCGGGCGTTGTGGCGGGTGCCTGTAGTCCCAGCTACTCGGGAGGCTGAGGCAAGAGAATCGCTTGAGCCCAAGAGTTAGAGGTTGCTGTGAGCTGCGAAGCCACGGCACTCTACTGAGAGTGACGTAATAAGACTCTGTCTCAAAAACAAAAACAAGAAACTAAAAATTCATATAAGGAATGCCAAAAAACATCTGGGGATATTTCATCTGGAAAGGTTTGGACTTGAGGGTAAGAGGAAGAGGCACAAAAAAAACTTCAAATATGGATAGAGCTAACAAGCACAAGAGGAACTAGATTTATGCCTTAAAGCTCGAGAGAGAGCTCTATCAACAACTTATAAAGGTTCTATACTAATCAGAATAAGATGTAACAATAGAGTTTTAAAAAACGCAATAGAAGGGGCAGGCCTCAATAGACATAACAGAGGCCTCCCAGGCATGGTGGCTTACACTTATATTCTTCACACTCTGGGAGGCCACGGTGGAAGGATCACTTGAGGCCAGGAGTTTGAGACCAGCCTGAGCAACAGTGAGACTTCACCTCTAATAAAAACAGAAAAATTAGGTGTGATGGTGTGCACCTGTAGTCCTAGCCACTCAGGAGGCAGAGGCAGGAGGATTGCTTAAGCCCAGAAGTTTGAGGCTGCAGTGAGCTATGATGACACCACTGCACTCCAGCCCAGGCAACAGAGCAAGACTGTCTCAAAAACAAAAAAAAGAAAAAAAGCAACAGGCTGCTTTGTGAAGTAGTAAGCTCCTTCCCTAGACGTGATTAAGTAGAAATTAGCTAACTTTTTGTCAGAGATGTTATGAAGGGGATTCCTGCACCCTTTCTAAGATGCTATTCCTCTAGAGATCTTCTGCCTTAATGATTTCATGTAACAACAATGACAGTTTAGATACTTACCAAATTCTTCTCAATATCTTGATCTGTGTTTACCTCTGAATCCGCCGTCTTAAAGTCAGTCTATAAAAAAAAGAAACAATTATATTCAGAACTGCTCTAAGAGACTTTAAAAGAGGCAGAATTACTCTAGTACCTTCACTTAGAAATCTGCCACAACTAAGAAACATTTTGCTGTTTCTCCCTTATCAGCTTCACAGCAAGAAAAGTGTTGGAGTTCTGGCACATGGACAGACACATCCAGATGGCATCAATTATTCCTCCCCCAAAAATAATGTGAACAAGATCAAAAAGTGACTCAGAGAAAGCCTCAAGTCTGACATGAGGATTCTGTCCCCTACAACCTATTGTGCCCATACTTTCTCCTGTGACAAAGACACCAGTCACTAGGAGGCGGGATACACTGTACTTCTTAAGCTGCAGGTCAGAGAATGAACAAGGATTCCTCCTGCAAGGACAAAGATGGGAAATATGAATGCTAATGACCTGCACGCATCAATTTCTCAGGGAAAGCGATTTAATGTAGGTCATAAAGTTCTGACTGGCTGTAAGATTAGAAACTGGCTACTGGCTTTCTTATTTTTTGAACACCAGAATAAAGTCATTGCACGGTACCGTACGAAAATAGTATAATGACTGCCAGCAAAAAAAAAAAAAATACAGTGTAATTCTCTACCAAATATGAAGAATTATCTTCTCCCCTCAAAAAACCCCCCCAAATTCGAGTTTAGTGGTAGAAACTTGATACTTGACCTGTACAGCAATGTTTTGAGAAAGCTTCAGGGAAGAGCTATCCTGATCATCATCCTGATCCACTCTGACTCCTTCAACCCCATTGGCTGGAGGCGCTACAGGTCGGAAATCCAAGCCTGTGTCCCTGCTACCTTCCTTTAGGATGGAGGCTTGTGGGGATTTCTCTTCAGAGCAATTCCCGGAGGCAAGCTGCTTTGTATGGCACCCTGCCTTAAGAGACCGAGTGACTGGATGGAGGCTCTCCTGGAGGCTTGTGTCCCCCTCCTCTCCTGCTGTGCTGGCCAAGTCCTTCAAATCAGACTGAGACCCACTGCCAGAAAGACAAAGGGCTGTGTCTATCAAGTTTTCTCCTAAAACCGCCTGGTGGGCTGCTGAGGTGTCACCTGCTGATGAACCAGGATTCTGCTCTGGGTGTTCCAAATGGACATTTCTGTTATTCTCCTTGGTTATCGTTTGGCTACTTACACTCGACAGAGGCAAGTTCTTCTGCTTCTGTGCAGAGTCTTTAGGGCTATCAAAAACATAAGATAAAAAGTTTCTCTCTTTACTCAATCTCAAAGAGAATTAAATATGTAATACTTTCAATGTTACCACTGGAAGAACAAAATTAAACTACATAAGCCTTTCTATTGCCAGAATGAAGAAAATTATTTCATTCCAATGACTTCTATCCCATATGCAGGTAACACTAGCTTAGAAATTAAGCCGGGTTCTGAAAACAATCTACAATTAATGCCAAAACATAAGTGACTCTAAAGAACCAAAAAAATTCTGAGAGCCGGGGGATTGGTGGGACCATACCTGTGATTGCATTAATGTACACAGCTATGACTTAATTAAAAAAAAAAATTCTGAGAGCCATTATGAAAAACTTTCAAGGATCTAGATGAAATAACCTAAGGCTTGTTAGAACATTCAATTTAGTTACATGTAATAATTTAGTTGCACATGGTATTTCAATAAAATATTAACTTAGAAACATTGTTTTTATTCCACTCTCATGTTTCACAAAAACAATTCTCATTCAAACCCCTTATAAAGATCTTTGACAAGAACCACTTTTTAGGTCGGGGGCAGTGGCTCACGCCTATAATCCCAGCATTCTGAAAGGCTGAGGCAGGTAGATTGCCTGAGCTCAGGAGTTTGATACCAGCCTGACCAAGAGCGAGATCCCTTCTCTAAAAAAACTAGCTGGGGGCTCGGCGCCTATAGCTCAACCGGCTAGGGCGCCAGCCACGTACACCTAAGGTGGCGGGTTCGAATCCCCAGCCCGGACCCGCCAAACAACA